TGACATATCTCTGATAGTTTTTTTTTTTTGTTTAATGTGTCCACTGCTATTTTTAATATTTCTATTGTACTCATCCTGCCTGAGGCTTGTGCAATCTAAAAGTAAACATTAGATGAAGGCTAGAAACTCGAGGTCGGAGCAGACAGCATAATATAGAGGCCTGAAATGTCTCCAGCTTCAACGTGTCAGTCTTTACCTCAGTTACCTGCCAATTCTGAACAAGTGTTGTGTAGAAATTCCCATTATACCATGCTTGAGTGACAGTGCTTGCCAGCTGGAGAAGGATGCCTCTTTCATAATGAACACAATGCCGTTGTGCATCACTGTCAGTACACATTTTGCTTTTCTTTTTCCATGAATATTGAATGTTTGGAGGCGGGATTTGGAGGCAATGTGGAATTTTCAGCTATATTCAGTTATATAACACAAGGATTTCTTTGTTTCTTTAATGATAATGATTTAATTTGGATTAAAACCTAGATCTTTGGAGGTATTAAACCACTATATTTGTCACATTGTCCAGCATATCACCACATTTTATATATTTTGTTTATGAGTTTGTGCAACAAACACCAAAATGAAATTTTGGCAGTAAATTGAGTTAATAATGGCACTCTAAAAGCCCTTAAAAAAATTACAGGACTATTTAGCAAACTATGCATATTTAGGAAAAAAAAAAGAAATGCTTCTTTTTCAGGAGACTGTATTTAAAAAATAATTTCGTAAAATCAAAATAAATTTTACAATTATTTATTGGAAAGGGTTTAAACAATGTTTTTCATGCTTGTTCAATGAACCATAAATAATTATTGCACATGCACCTGTGTAACAGTCCTTAAGAACCAAACAATTTATAGGTGGTAGGCAATTAAGGTAACAGTTACAATAATTTAGGACACTAAAGAGACCTTTTTACTGACTCTGAAAAACACCAGAAGGAAGATGCCTAGGGTGCCTGCTCACCTGCGTGAACATGCTATAGGCCTGCTGCAGGGAGGTATGCGGTCTGCAGATGTAGCCAGAGCAATAAACTGCAATGTCTGTAATGTAAGATGTCTAAGACAGTGCTACAGGGAGACGGGAAGGACAGCTGATTGTCCTTGCAGTGGAAAATTACATATAACCATGTGTCCCCTGAGACGTGATAGAGACCTTGCAAATGCCTTTTTGGAAGTGGAGTAACATCTCACAGTTGGTGGTGCAGTCCATGAGGATGAGATGCACCGTAGTACATAAAGCAGCTGGTGGGCACACCAGATATACCTTTGATATTGGATGCATCTTATGGACCCAGCAACCAAGCAAGAATTACAAATCGCCCTCTCCAACAAATTCGCAGCGCTAGCTCAGTCGGATGATTTGGACAATGAAGAACAGCAGGTATTACAAGCAAACATAGAAAGTGCAGCTCCTCTTTACCAAACAAACTGCTGCTGGACACAGCCATGGAACTTGGACAAATGCCTGATCCTGGTGGACAAGTGGAAGCATACAAAACACATGGATCTTAAACAATACCGGCACCTGAACTGAAAAGTTTGGCAGATGTTGAATACAAAACGAGAAGCCTACTGGAATAGAGTAGCAGCTGATGTCGAGGAAGCTGCATCTAGGCAAGACTACCAGACCTCGTACCAAAGGTTCAAGACACTGAGTGTAACATCAAGAAAGTGGATGGAACCTTTGTGAGGTCTCCGAGTGAACATATGCGATGGTGGAAAGAACTTTTCCAAGAACTATACAATTACAATCCACCGGCAGAGCCACCGCCTATCGACCCAACAGTGAATCCTTTTCCAACAATGGACCTACAGTTGACAAAGTGAAAATTGCCATCAGACTTCATGCACTCTTGTCACTTATCTGGTACTCAAAGCAAATACGATCCGCTTGGAAAGAAGCCATGTTAGTGCCAATACTGAAGAAAGGTGATAATCGGGAGTGCAAAAACTACCACGGCATCAGCCTCCTGTCCATTACCGGCACAGCTTTTATGAAGATCATCCAATCCAGGCTGCAGAAACAGACCAGTCAAGAAGAACAGGGGGGATTTAGGCTGAACTATGGATGATCACAATAATGTATTCCACTATTCAATTTACAATCACAATCAAATATTCCACATTTGTCAACTGATGGAAGAAAGAATTAGATGTGGGAATCACACCATCATCATTGTTATACACCTCATGTCTGCATTTGATTGTGCCCACTGGCCAGCTCTATGGAGAGCATTGGAGGTTGAGCATGTCCCCAAAAAGTTCATTCGACTCCTGAAAATGTCCTATGACGGCTCAACAGTTGCATGCGGATACAGGATGAACTATTGAAGGAGTTTCCCATCCAAAACAGTCTTCCAAGATGACGCTGCATCTCCGATGCTATTCAACACCGTGATTGATGCTGTCAGGAGCAGTCGAGCGAGGCTTGGAGTTCAGTGTGACAAGAACACATATGTGTCTGATTTTATGTTTGCCAACGACAACGTGATCTTCGTCGATATTGACGCCAAACATACTGACATTCTATCTAGCATCACCCACATTGCGAGCTGTATGGCCTCAAAATCAATGCAGACAAGACCAAAGTTTTAACTACGGATGGGTTTCAGGCCAGTGTCCACCTCAATGGAGCCCAGTGCAAACATGTTCAGAAATTCAAGCACATAGGATCCGTGATGCAGGAGATGAAAAAGGCATTTTCAACTGATGTCCATGTCAGAATCGGACAAGTAACTGCAGCATTTGTTATGCTCAAGTGGTACCTATGGAAAAGGGCCAAAATATGCCTTTTCTGAACGTTGAACCCTCCACAAAGGAGGTCATGGTTCAATTCCCAGCCAATGCACAACTGTGTTTTGAAGACGCTTGTGTGGGAAGAGCCTACACCCAAAATACTTCACAATCCTTATCAATTCTGCCCAAACTAGGGAAGTGGATGAACTCCATGCTGCTGAAATATACAAGAGATTTAGGATGCTCCTTTTCAATTTTGAAACTAAATCGCTGAATCAGCACAATACTTACCTGAAAAGCACACTCTGCAAAGTCCTTGATTCTTTAACATAAGCATTGGTGGGTCAATGGTAGAATTTGCGCCTTCCATGTGGGAGGCCCTTGGTCTATTCCTGACCAATGCACAACTGAGTTTTGAAGATGCTTGTGTTACAAGACCATTCACCCAAAGAACTTCCCAAGCCTTATCAATTCTGCCCAAACTAGGATTGCGGACAAACTCTATGCTGCTGAAATATAAGTCATTGATTCTTTGAGATAAGCATTGGTGTTTGTTGTGGAAATTAAACAACACTCGCAGACTCATCCTCTGAAGGTAAAAATATTTATTACAGAAAGATGGTTAATAAAGGATAGAAAAAAGCAGGATAGAATAATGAGAGTGCTCTATCGCCCTTGTACTAACATACTACTATATACAGTATCTCACAAAAGTGAGTACACCCCTCAAATTTTTGTAAATATATGATTATATCTTTTAATGTGACAACACTGAAGAAATGACACTTTGCTACAATGTAAAGTAGTGAGTGTACAGCTTGTATACCCCTCAAAATAACTCAACATACAGCCATTAATGTCTAGACCACTGGCAACAAAAGTGAGTATACCCCTAAGTGAAAATGTCAAAATTGGGCCCAAAGTGTCAATATTTTGTTTGGCCACCATTATTTATCATCACAGCCTTAACTCTCTTGGGCATGGAGTTCACCAGAGCTTCACAGGTTGCCACTGGAGTCCTCTTCCACTCCTCCATGACAACATCACAAAGCTGGTGGATGTTAGAGACCTTCTGCTCTTCCACCTTGTTTGAGGATGCCCCACAGATGCTGAATAGGGTTTAGGTCTGGAGACATGCTTGGCCAGTCCATCACCTTCACCCTCAGCTTCTTTAGCAAGGCAGTGTTCATTATCATGCTGGAATACTGCCCTGCACCCAGTCTCCGAAGGGAGGGGATCATGCTCTGCTTCAGTATGTCACAGTACATGTTGGCATTTATGGTTTCCTCAATGAACTGTAGCGCTCCAGTACCAGCAGCACTCATGCAGCCCCAGACCATGACACTCCCACCACCATGCTTGACTGTAGGCAAGACACACTTGTCTTTATACTCCTCACCCGGTTGCCACCACACACACTTGACACCATCTGAACCAAATAAGCTAATCTTGGTCTCATCAGACCCCAGGACATGGTTCCAGTAATCCATGTCCTTAGTCTGTTTGTCTTTGGCAAACTGTGGGCTTTCTTGTTCATCATCTTTAGACAAGGCTTCCTTCTGGGACGACAGCCATGCAGACCAAGGTCTGAGAACTGACAGGATGACCCCCCACCCCTTCAACCTTTGCAGCAATGCTGGCAGCACTCATGGATCTATTTCTCAAAGACAACCTCTGGATATGATGCTGAGCACGTGCACTCAACTTCTTTGTTCAACCATGGCGAGGCCTGTTCTGAGTGGAACCTGTCCTGTTAAACCGTTGTATGGTCATGGCCACCATGCTGCAGCTCAGTGTCAGGGTCTTGGCAATCTTCTTATAGCCTAGGCCATCTTTATGTAGAGCAACAATAATTTTATTTCAGACCCTAAGAGAGTTCTTTGCCATGAGGTGCCATGTTGTACTTCCAGTAGCTAATATAAGGGAGTGTGAGAGCGATGACACCAAATTTAACACACCTGCTCCCTATTCACACCCAAGATCTTGTAACACTAACAAGTCACAAGACACCGGGGAGGGAAAATGGCTAAGTGGGAACAATTTGGACATTTTCACTTAGGGGTGTACTCACTTTTGTTGCCAGAAGTTTACACATTAATGGCTGTGTCAAAGGCGTAACCATGGTATGGATATTGGTGGAGACTAAGCCTAACTTCCTGCTTTGAACACACATCTCTTGATATTTGGGGGAGATTTGAACTTTGTTATTGACACAGCCTTGGACAAATCTAGCGCTGTTGCAAAGGCTCCCTTTGCGATGGCTAAGGTATTCTCTGAGTTTATGGTTCAGAACCCAGGCCTCCAACATGTCAAGCTAGAATTCTACCACTGAACCACCAATGCTTATCTATGAGATCAAAGGACTTCTAAGAGTGTGATTTGCAGCTAACTATACTGCAGAATTGATACGCTTAATGAAGTTCTGTGAGTGAAGACTAAATATTCAAGATTCACTTTTGCATTGGCTGGGAATCGAACCCAGGCCTCCAACATGGCAAGCTAGAATTTTACCACTGAACCACCAATGCTTACCTTCAAGCTCAAACGACTTCTCAGAGTGTGATTTGCAGCTAACCAAACTGCAGAATTGATCAGGCTTTTGAAGTTCTGTGAGTGAAGGATTAATATTCAGAACTCAGTTGTGCATTGTGCAAGGCCTGGTACATGGCATTTGAGAATTCTACCACTAAACCATCAATCCTTCCTTATCTTAAAGAATCAATGACTTTGCAGAGTGTGCTTTTCAGGTAAGTATTGTGCCGCTTCAGCTATTTGGTTTAAAATTGTACAGTAGCATCTCTTGAAGAATCAAACTCTTATCTCAAACAATCAATGACAACGCAGAGTGAGCTTTTCAGGTAAGTATTGTGCTGATTCAGCCATGTGGTTTAAAATTGTAAAGTAGCATCTCTTGTATATTTCAGCAGCATGGAGTTTGTCCACCACCCTAGTTTGGGCAGAATTGATAAAGCTTGTCAATTTCTTTGCGAGAAGGCTGAATGTTCAAAATTTGCTTGTGCGTTGGCTGGGAATCAAACCCAGGTCTCCAACATGGCAAGCTAGAATTCTACCACTGAAACACCAATGCTTGTCTTTAAGTTCAAAGGACTTCACAGAGTGTGATTTGCAGCTAACCATACTGCAGAATTGATAAGTTTAATGAAGTTCTGTGAGTGAAGGATTAATATTCAGAACTTAGTTGTGCATTGGCTGGGAATGGAACCCAGGCCTCCAACATGGCAAGCAAGAATTCTACCACTGAACCACCAATGCTTACCTTCAAGTTCAAACGATTTCTCAGAGTGTGATTTGCAGCTAACCAATCTGCAGAATTGATCAGGCTTTTGAAGTTCTGTGATTGAAGGATTAACATTCAGAACTCAGTTGTGCATTGTGCAAGCCCTGGTACATGGCATTTGAGAATTCTACCACTAAACCATCAATCCTTCCTTATCTTAAAGAATCAATGACTTGGCAGAGTGTGCTTTTCAGGTAAGTATTGTGCCGCTTCAGCTATTTGGTTTAAAATTGTACAGTAGCATCTCTTGAAGAATCAAACTCTTATCTCAAACAATCAATGACAACGCAGAGTGAGCTTTTCAGTTAAGTATTGTGCTGATTCAGCTATGTGGTTTAAAATTGTAAAGTAGCATCTCTTGTATATTTCAGCAGCATAGAGTTTGTCCACCACCCTAGTTTGGGCAGAATTGATAAAGCTTGTCAATTTCTTTGCCAGAAGGCTGAATGTTCAAAATTTGCTTGTGCATTGGCTGGGAATCAAACCCAGGTCTCCAACATGGCAAGCTAAAATTCTACCACTGAAACACCAATGCTTACCTTCAAGTTCAAACGACTTCTCAGAGTGTGATTTGCAGCTAACCAAACTGCAGAATTGATCAGGCTTTTGAAGTTCTGTGAGTGAAGGATTAATATTCAGAACTCAGTTGTGCATTGTGCAAGGCCTGGTACATGGCATTTGAGAATTCTACCACTAAACAATCAATCCTTCCTTATCTTAAAGAATCAATGACTTTGCAGAGTGTGCTTTTCAGGTAAGTATTGTGCCGCTTCAGCTATTTGGTTTAAAATTGTACAGTAGCATCTCTTGAAGAATCAAACTCTTATGTCAAACAATCAATGACAACGCAGAGTGAGCTTTTCAGGTAAGTATTGTGCTGATTCAGCCATGTGGTTTAAAATTGTAAAGTAGCATCTCTTGTATATTTCAGCAGCATGGAGTTTGTCCACCACCCTAGTTTGGGCAGAATTGATAAAGCATTTCAATTTCTTTGCCAGAAGGCTCAATGTTCAAAATTTGCTTGTGCATTGGCTGGGAATCGAACCCAGGTCTCCAACATGGCAAGCTAGAATTCTACCACTGAACCACCAATGCTTACCTTCAAGCTCAAACGACTTCTCAGAGTGTGATTTGCAGCTAACCAAACTGCAGAATTGATCAGGCTTTTGAAGTTCTGTGAGTGAAGGATTAATATTCAGAACTCAGTTGTGCATTGTGCAAGGCCTGGTACATGGCATTTGAGAATTCTACCACTAAACCATCAATCCTTCCTTATCTTAAAGAATCAATGACTTTGCAGAGTGTGCTTTTCAGGTAAGTATTGTGCCGCTTCAGCTATTTGGTTTAAAATTGTACAGTAGTATCTCTTGAAGAATCAAACTCTTATCTCAAACAATTAATGACAACGCAGAGTGAGCTTTTCAGGTAAGTATTGTGCCGCAACAGCTATTTGGTTTAAAATTGTACAGTTGCATCTCTTGAAGAATCAAGCTCTTATCTCAAACAATCAATGAGAACGCAGAGTGAGCTTTTCAGGTAAGTATTGTGCTGATTCAGCCATGTGGTTTAAAATTGTAAAGTAGCATCTCTTGTATATTTCAGCAGCATGGAGTTTGTCCAAAATTGATAAAGCTTGTCAATTTCTTTGCGAGAAGGCTCAATGTTCAAAATTCGCTTGTGCATTGGCTGGGAATCGAACCCAGGCCTCCAACATGGCAAGCTAGAATTCTACCACTGAACCACCAATGCTTACCTTCAAATTCAAACGATTTCTCAGAGTGTGATTTGCAGCTAACCAATCTGCAGAATTGATCAGGCTTTTGAAATTCTCTGATTGAAGGATTAACATTCAGAACTCAGTTGTGCATTGTGCAAGCCCTGGTACATGGCATTTGAGAACTCTACCACTAAACCATCAATCCTTCCTTATCTTAAAGAATCAATGACTTTGCAGAGTGTGCTTTTCAGGTAAGTATTGTGCCGCTTCAGCTATTTGGTTTAAAATTGTACAGTAGCATCTCTTGAAGAATCAAACTCTTATGTCAAACAATCAATGACAACGCAGAGTGAGCTTTTCAGGTAAGTATTGTGCTGATTCAGCCATGTGGTTTAAAATTGTAAAGTAGCATCTCTTGTATATTTCAGCAGCATGGAGTTTGTCCACCACCCTAGTTTGGGCAGAATTGATAAAGCTTGTCAATTTCTTTGCGAGAAGGCTGAATGTTCAAAATTTGCTTGTGCGTTGGCTGGGAATCAAACCCAGGTCTCCAACATGGCAAGCTAGAATTCTACCACTGAAACACCAATGCTTACCTTCAAGTTCAAAAGACTTCTCAGAGTGTGATTTGCAGCTAACCAAACTCAGAATTGATCAGGCTTTTGAAGTTCTGTGAGTAAAGGATTAATATTCAGTACTCAGTTGTGCATTGTGCAAGCCCTGGTACATGGCATTTGAGAATTCTACCATTAAACCATCAATCCTTCCTTATCTTAAAGAATCAATGACTTGGCAGAGTGTGCTTTTCAGGTAAGTATTGTGCCGCTTCAGCTATTTGGTTTAAAATTGTACAGTAGCATCTCTTGAAGAATCAAACTCTTATCTCAAACAATCAATGACAACGCAGAGTGAGCTTTTCAGTTAAGTATTGTGCTGATTCAGCCATGTGGTTTAAAATTGTAAAGTAGCATCTCTTGTATATTTCAGCAGCATAGAGTTTGTCCACCACCCTAGTTTGGGCAGAATTTATAAAGCATTTCAATTTCTTTGCCAGAAGGCTCAATGTTCAAAATTCACTTGTGAATTGGCTGGGAATCAAACCCAGGTCTCCAACATGGCAAGCTAGAATTCTACCACTGAAACACCAATGCTTACCTTCAAGTTCAAAAGACTTCTCAGAGTGTGATTTGCAGCTAACCAATCTGCAGAATTGATCAGGCTTTTGAAGTTCTGTGAGTGAAGGATTAATATTCAGAACTCAGTTGTGCATTGTGCAAGGCCTGGTACATGGCTTTTGAGAATTCTACCACTAAACCATCAATCCTTCCTTATCTTAAAGAATCAATGACTTTGCAGAGTGTGCTTTTCAGGTAAGTATTGTGCCGCTTCAGCTATTTGGTTTAAAATTGTACAGTAGCATCTCTTGAAGAATCAAACTCTTATCTCAAACAATCAATGACAACGCAGAGTGAGCTTTTCAGGTAAGTATTGTGCTGATTCAGCCATGTGGTTTAAAATTGTAAAGTAGCATCTCTTGTATATTTCAGCAGCATGGAGTTTGTCCGAAACCCTAGTTTGGGCAGAATTGATAAAGCATGTCAATTTCTTTGCGAGAAGGCTCAATGTCCAAAATTCGCTTGTGCATTGGCTGGGAATGGAACCCAGGCCTCCAACATGGCAAGCTAGAATTGTACCACTGAACCACCAATGCTTACCTTCAAGTTCAAACGATTTCTCAGAGTGTGATTTGCAGCTAACCAATCTGCAGAATTGATCAGGCTTTTGAAGTTCTGTGATTGAAGGATTAATATTCAGAACTCAGTTGTGCATTGTGCAAGGCCTGGTACATGGCATTTGAGAATTCTACCACTAAACAATCAATCCTTCCTTATCTTAAAGAATCAATGACTTTGCAGAGTGTGCTTTTCAGGTAAGTATTGTGCCGCTTCAGCTATTTGGTTTAAAATTGTACAGTAGCATCTCTTGAAGAATCAAACTCTTATCTCAAACAATCAATGACATCGCAGAGTGAGCCTTTCAGGTAAGTATTGTGCTGATTCAGCCATGTGGTTTAAAATTGTAAAGTAGCATCTCTTGTATATTTCAGCAGCATGGGGTTTGTCCACCACCCCAGTTTGGGCAGAATTGATAAAGCATGTCAATTTCTTTGCCAGAAGGCTCAATGTTCAAAATTCGCTTGTGCATTGGCTGGGAATCGAACCTAGGTCTCCAGCATAGCAACCTAGAATTTTACCACTGAACCACCAATGCTTGTCTTTAAGCTCAAAGGACTTCACAGAGTGTGATTTGCAGCTAACCATACTGCAGAATTGATAAGTTTAATTAAGTTCTGTGAGTGAAGACTAAATATTCAAGATTCACTTGTGCATTGGCTGGGAATTGAACCCAGGTCTCCAACATGGCAAGCTAGAATTCTACCACTGAAACACCAATGCTTACCTTCAAGTTCAAAAGACTTCTCAGAGTGTGATTTGCAGCTAACCAAACTGCAGAATTGATCAGGCTTTTGAAGTTCTGTGAGTGAAGGATTAATATTCAGAACTCAGTTGTGCATTGTGCAAGGCCTGGTACATGGCATTTGAGAATTCTACCACTAAACCATCAATCCTTCCTTATCTTAAAGAATCAATGACTTTGCAGAGTGTGCTTTTCAGGTAAGTATTGTGCCGCTTCAGCTATTTGGTTTAAAATTGTACAGTAGCATCTCTTGAAGAATCAAACTCTTATCTCAAACAATCAATGACAACGCAGAGTGAGCTTTTCAGGTAAGTATTGTGCCGCAACAGCTATTTGGTTTAAAATTGTACAGTTGCATCTCTTGAAGAATCAAACTCTTATCTCAAACAATCAATGACAACGCAGAGTGAGCTTTTCAGGTAAGTATTGTGCTGATTCAGCCATGTGGTTTAAAATTGTAAAGTAGCATCTCCTGTATATTTCAGCAGCATGGAGTTTGTCCAAAACCCTAGTTTGGGCAGAATTGATAAAGCATGTCAATTTCTTTGCGAGAAGGCTCAATGTTCAAAATTTGCTTGTGCATTGGCTGGGAATC